AGAGTCAGATGCTTCTTCGGGCTCTGTGCTGACAGCTCAGAGCCTGGAGCCTGCTTCAGATTCTGTGTCTTCCCCTCTCTCTCTGTCCCTCCCCTGCTCATGCTCTGTCTCTTTCTCTCTCTCTCAAAAATAAATAAACATTAAAAAATTTAAAAAAAGAGATGCTTAACTAAGCCACCCAAGCGCCCTAACAGACAAGTGTTTAAACTGAAGACTAGCAAGGGACCTTATGGGCTGTCTGAAGAGCTGTCTGAAGCCATTGTGACCAGAGTTGGGGCTTGGGGAACAGACCAGGTTTGGATTTATCAGTGTGATCTGCAGAGGGCCAGCCAGGTAGGGAGAGCAGCTTGAGTGAATACGGGGAGACCCTGGAGAAGGAGTTATGGTGTGGGGTTATGGTGATAACTGACCAGCAGGTGCAGGGGGTGTGCCTGGGATGGAAGAATTGAAGTGTTACAGTATTGCAAAAGGGAGTTTGAGCCACACTGTATAGACAGTGCAGTGGTATAGCATAGAGGTGACATCCATCTGCCTGGGTCAGAGGCTCTCAGACTTGAGTAGGCATCAAAGTCGCCTGGGAGACTTGTTGAAGCACTGATTGCTGCCTGCCCCTCACCCACCCTCCAGAGTTGCTGATTAAGTAGGTCTGTGTTGGGGCCTGGGCATTTGCATTTCTCACTGGTGCTTCTGCTGTGGAGTTAGGGACCATGCTTTGCAGAGCCAGTTGCCTAGAATTCAGAGGGTGGTAATCTTGCTCTGTTAAGGGCCAGTAGTAAGTGTTTTAGGCTTCTGAGCTACATAGGGTTTCTGTCACATTTTCTTCTTTGTTGCTTTTTACAACCCTTTAAGCGTGTGTACAAACAGATGTTGGCCACAGATAAACAGGCTGGTGGGGAAAGAGGGGTGGCATAGGGGAGACAGGGCATGGTGGGACAGGCTGTACTATCCTAGGCTGTCCCTAGCTTATCCTTCTGCCTCATAGCTGGTGACCTTTGGCAAGTCCATCTCTCTGTGCCTTTGTTTCTTCATCTCTAAAACAGATGATATTAGTAATTTTTACCATGTAGGACTCTTCTAACAATTTAGTGAACTAAGGCACAAAAAGCATTTATCCCACTCCCTGGGACATACCTAGAATTTATTTATCAGTTGCTGTTGGCAGTGATACTACAAGCTACTAATGGCTGTTCGCAGGTGAGGAAACAGTGAAAAGGAAGACCAACACAGATCTACCGTATTATAGATCCTGAAAGCCAAATGCTCCAAGAGCTCACCATCATTTCTTCTTAGATGGCCTACAAAGAAGAATGCTTTGAACTAAAACATAACGCACACTCTGAATACATCCTGGGTTAGTACCCCATAGGAGGTCACTGCTCAGCTTTTCCCTTGGCACACTTAGAAAATGGTTCCATTTGTAAGCTGGCTGGTCCTTGGGCCCAAGACTCTGATTGAGGGGTTGGAGAGTTTGGCCTACTTATAACCCATTTACAACCTCTACTTGAGCCTCATTTTTTTAGGAAGACTGATTTAAGACCTTGGCCCGAATAGGGCACCAAATAGGATCTGCCTGATCAGGATCGAAACTGTGCCTTTGTACCTCACATTTTGCTGCACGGTGTGAGTGAAAGTGAGAGTTACAGGAAAGGAGTCTTAATCACGTGCTCCATATTTTCTGAGTTGAAGTATGCAAATGAGTGCCGAGGTGCCTCTTTCACTCATGGTAGCTAAGACAGGAAGATCACCGGGTACCCTGGCATAGCTTCTCTGCGCTGGTGCCCAGGGAGAGGCCACCTGGTGGTTCCTGAGAGATCCAACTCCTCTCTCTCTGGACACTGCTAATGAGAGCTGGGCACACTTACGTAATACGGGGACTTTCTCCCCTTTCCTGGTCTAGCCCCCTGAGGAGGCACCCACTTTCTTGCTCACCTCTCCAGCAGCATGCTCAAATCTTTGCCAGAGCACATACTAATGACTTTGTAAGCTCAATTTACAGATGCACACGACTACCCCATGTTGATAGGGCTCTGCCCTCCACTTGGGTTTTTGCTGACATTCAGTAGAATACCCTTCCCTCTCCTCCCCACCTTGTAAAACAGGCTTCCTGTTTTTGAACTTGGTCCAGACTGGAACAGCCCTGCTACACCTGTTAACATAGTCAGACACACATTTCCTCCTCTGTATTTGTGCAGCTTTTGTCGCCTAGCCAGATTTCCCCTCTCAGCTTACAGATCTGGAATCATAACATAAGATATTGAACCAGCAAATGAAGAAAAAAGGAAGTTTGCATTTTGGAGCCAATTGAGTGAAAACGTGGCTTCTGGTTTGTTTCACTGTGTTTGGCCACGACCACTCTACTAACTTTCCCCCTTCTTCACAGCAGAATGGAAATGAGGAAAGGAAATCAGCTGACGCAGGAGCCGGAGTGAGACCGATGTGCCCACAAACCCAGCCTGCACCATGAACTTGTGTCTCCCTTCTGCGCTTTAAGAGCCAAGGGCAGGTGAAGTTGCTGGAGAGCAATGGCTTTCTTTACTCCGTGGAAGCTGTCCTCTCAGAAGCTGGGCTTTTTCCTTGTGACTTTTGGCTTTATCTGGGGTATGATGCTCCTGCATTTTACCATCCAGCAGCGAACTCAGCCTGAGAGCAGCTCCATGCTGCGTGAGCAGATCTTGGACCTCAGCAAGAGGTACATCAAGGCGCTGGCAGAAGAAAACCGGAATGTGGTGGATGGGCCATACGCCGGTGTCATGACAGCTTACGGTAAGCGCGGTGCTTCTGGGGCTTCTTGATGGGATGTGGCTTTGCCTCAAAGTGACTCCAGAGGCTTGCAGCCTTGGTTTTTATCGTGGATTGAGTGCCTCCCTTGCCACTGCCTTCGTGGCAGGGAGTTGCACACAGAGGGACACTTTTAGAAAGTTAAAGCCATGTCCTTGTGGAGACTGAGTTCTTGTGCACACTGACACTCAGTCCTAGGACCAGTGGGGGCAGAGCAGTAGCACTCAGTTGGTTGTATGTGCAGCTAGCTCCCTTTCCCGCAGCACATTTCTGGATTGCATGATCTCATCCGGGAGTATGATCAGGGAATGTAGAAAAATATTCTTGTTATCTTTCCCTAAACAAAACTTAATTAAGGCTGTGTGGTGGTAAGGTACAGAGGGTGGGGAGGAATGCAGGGTCGAAGGAGGACTAGGGGAGGAGGGTGAGGTAAGGACAGGGGGGGTGCGGGGGGGGGGGGGGGGGGGGGGGGGGGGGGGGGATGAGAAACTCAGAGTCCAATGTGTGCCTCCCTCTGGCTGGTATGTAGGACACTTGGTCTTATGTGCTGGCTAATAGCTTTAGTCTTCAGCTTCTTCAGTGTTGCCTGCTCTTGTTTCTTGTCCTTGCCTCTCATTGCCCTTATTTCGAAAGAAGTCTTTTTGTACACGTTGCTTTTTTTTGTTGGGTACCTAAAAACTCTTCTAGAAATGAGGTTGAGGGGAAAAAACTACATACAGAATATTATTTATTTTTCTTTTGGCAAAAGTTATGCTTAATATAGAAAACTTTGGAAGCTGTAGACATGCAAAAGAGAAACCCAAGAATAAAGAAAATCACATATAAACCTACTCTAGGAACTAACCACAATTAACATGTCACTGTATATTTTTCTGATCTTTTATGTATATGCACAAAAATATGTGTATATGGATATATGCAAAATACTTGAAAAAAAGCATACATACACAATACAAACAAAAATTGTAGATGAAATTTGGATCGTAGGACGTCGTGGGGCGCCTATCTCCCAGCTCTCCTATGATCACCAAGGATGAGAATGGACTTACTCCATAGAAGATGTCCTGTCATTCTTGCTCATTAACAAGTCTAGTCACTGAATGCAGACCTTAGTGCCCTCAGGGTTTGGGACCCAGAGGTGTAATATAAATGAGATGCAAGAATGGATTTGGCTGAGGTGGAAAGGTTCCCTGTTATACATTGTGACACCGCAGTTACAGACTCTAAAGTATATGAAGTTCAAATGGTGATTTCCTGAAAATGTATAGCAGCATTTTGAAGCTTGAATTCAAACACAGGAAGTTATACTTAATTTGACATAATTTGTTTTTCTTTTTGAAAGGATCCAGGAAATGTGGTTACTTTTAAATTTCAGCTATATGTTTTGGTAAGGAGAAAATGGTTGCTTTTAACGTAGAATGTGGAAATTTCTTTTTCACTGCCTACTGAACACTGTTAGTAGTGCCTACTGTTGGAATAATCACGCTGTCTGCTTTTAATCTGTTGGATTTGGCAATGTCAATAGGCATGGGCTCTCAATATGCCTGAATAAATGCCACCTTTTTTTGATATGATGGATTAAAAAATGAGACTCCATTTTGAGAGTCCGCACTGAAAAACAACTAGGTAGTTTTTCAGAGTGGATTTTTAAATAAATCATGGACTTCGGTCTTCTGTATTTCCCAAATATTGTAGGTAAGCCATCAGAACGAATAAATAAAGCAAATTGTCACCATTAGTGTCACTCATGTGTAACAAGTCCATATAACAAGTAAAATAGACACCTCTTTCAGGTTTGTGTTCGGTACATTCCGTGTTAAATATTTTGGGGAATAGGGGAGTAGTTCCTTTGTAATTTCCTCCTTCTGTTTATCTCAATCTGTCACACTTTTTCCGTGGGAAAGAAGAAAACCCATAAATGATAAATTTATAGAATTAAAATTTTCCTAGTTGTTTTGAATGTTTTTATTTCTTGTTTGCTGCTGAACATCTTCCTAGGCTAGGCTTCCTCGGTTTTCTAAAGGGTAGTGATCTGGTCTTAGCTTTCAACCTCACAGACCTCATGTGTTGTAGAAAGTTACCAGAACCCCAGAGTAGTCTGTTAGAACCTCAGCCCCACATTATATGCTTATAAACATAGGAGTTTGGAGCTCAAAGATACTATGAAAATTGATTCCAATTTCCTTTCACAGATAAACCTTAGCAAAGTAATTTTTCTTTTTCTCAAAAACAACAAAGAAACAAACAAACAGGCCCTGTCGGCAAATGCAACACACACTGCTGTTTTTCTCTTTTCATCTCATCAGCTAGGCATGTCAATCAAAGTGGTCTTTGGAGCTGAGTTTGTGGAATTTAATTGGACTGTGCCTGTGTACTTGAGGCATTGGATCATCATGTGGCGAAATCCCACTAAAACAGTTTGTCACCTGGGCACTTGTGGCATGTGGAGCTAGATAATTGTTTGTTGTGGGGATTGTTCGTTCATGCAGGATGTTGAGCAGCATCTCGGGTGGCCCTACCCACTAGATGCCAGTAGCACCCCCCCTGGTTGTAACCACCAAAAATGTGTGTAGACATGGGGGGCAAAATTGCCTCCCTCCCCACCTTGGAGAATCACTGCACTAAGAGTGAAACAGCAAACACTAACAGCATCTTATGGAAGTTTTCAAGCAGATACCTGGTTCCTGTCACTTAAAATTGGACAGCTTAGCTTTCTCCATTTCTCAGTTCTGGGCACCAACAACTGGGATTTAGCAAGGCGATATAGTCCAGGGCCAGTCATAGAAAGCTGGAGAGCCATTCTGCTGATGTGTGCTTCCCCTGGAATCCATCAGTACCAGTTGTGGGCACATCAACAGCCAGGCAGCTCTGGTGGTTGATGTCAGAAGATGATGCCGGGGAGCCTGGGTGGCTCAGTCAGTTAAGCGTGTGACTCTTCATTTTGGCCCAGGTCATGATCTCACGGTTCATGACTTCGAGCCCCCCATAGGGTTCTGCACTGACAACGTGGAGCCTGTTTGGTATTCTCTCTCTCCTCTGTCTGCCCTTCCCTTGTTCGCTCCTTGTTTGTCTGTCTCCCTCTCTCTCTCTCTAAAAATAAACAAATAAACTTAAAAAAAAAAAAAACACATGAGAAAAGATGCAGGGACTGCAGGATGTTCAGTGGTTTAGTTGGATTGGTGGAGTGGGGATGAAGACGCATGAGACATGGGTTTGCAATCTCTTTTTCGGCCACAGATGCAGCCCGTGTACAGAGCGCTGGCTAGACGTCTGCTCTGAGAGAATGAAGAACTGATCCTTTATGGCTGGGATCTGTGCCCACTACGAAGTAATCCCATTAATAGACCAGAAAAGAAAACCACCCTCTTTCTCCCATCCCCATATTGGCATCATCAGAGGCTCTCAGTATGCTACAAACGTGTCTTCAGTAGCCCTGGAAGGTATTTGAGAAATCGTAATAGCTAACTTTAGATTATTACTGATTTTTTAGAATCCCTGGCTTGAGGTCCTAGAGCTGAAGAGTTCAGCAAACTATTCCCTGTGGGTCAAATTCGGACTTCTGTCAGTTTGAGTAAATCAACTTTTACTGAAACAGAACCACTCCCAATTATTGATAACAACTGTAGTAACAGAGAAACATGGTAAAACAGGATTTATTTTACGGGACACCTAAAACCTGCTGACTCCATCTTTCAGTAGTCCCCATGATTCAGTCTGAAACACTCATTGGAGTGTCCCTCCTTGACTCCACAGTTTCCCAGGACTTCCAGGGTCTGAGCTATGGTCAGCAAGCTCACTGTGGGTCATAGCATCCTGTTCTTATTTGTAAAGCCTTTGGAATCCTCCTTGTCTCTCGGTTTGTCCTCTAGGGGTTTTTACATTACAATGGCAGAGTTGAGTAGTTGCCTCAGGGACTAAAGCCTAAAAGGTTTACTGTCTGCTCCTTTACCAAAAATGTTTTTTCTTTTTTTTTTTTTTAAAGTTTATTTATTTTGTGAGAGAGGGAGTAAGGGAGGAGCAGAGAGAGAGGAGTGGGAAAATCCCAAGCAAGCTCCTCACCACAAACACAGAGCCCAACTCAAGGCTCAAACCCAAGAACCATGAGACGACAACCCAAGCCAAAGCCAAGAGTCAGTCCAACCTACTGACTGAGCCACCCAGGCGCCCCCCCTCCCAAATGTTTGTTAAGCCCTGATCTATCCCCAGGGGAGTCTATCTAAGGGATTTTGTTTGGTATGCTAAGACTCATCTCTGCGTTTGAATTCACTGAAGACATCCTTATAAGATGTACATCAACATGTCTTATTTCTCTGTCCTCTGAAAATGCCTCTGAGTGGCAGGTATGAGGTTAGTGGTTAGGGGGAGCCAGCCAGTTTGGCTTTGCCACATCCTGGCTGCATGGCCAGGGCCCTAGGGACCCATACTACTTTGAGAGTGGGTATCCGTTCCTATCTTACCGTGTGATTGTACCGTGTGAACAAGGTGCTGCATGTCAGGGGGTGTTAGTTTGATTAGTCCTCAAACAATAGCAGGACTTTCAAACTTCTCATCCCCCATCCTTGTTCTGACTTGAAAAGAGACTTCTCAACTTCTTTTGGGGTTTGGTAATTCAGAAGTAGTGCCTGGAACACGTCCCGGGTAGCCCGTGTAGAACAGTTGGAACATTCGTCCGTGGGGGATGGAGGGCGTTTCTCGTGTGCTCGTCTGTCAGTCCATTCTTGGGGGAATGTGCACAGCCAGGGCCTTCTGTGCAGCCTGAACTGCCTCTCCCAGGCCCGTGTGGCAGGGCCATGCCTGTCGCGGGGATTGTGTCATGAATTCTGTTACCCACCCTAGTCAATGCCCTTCTTATTTCTGAGGTGAATTGATCTCTGTCTCTGGTGGCCTGACCCGAATTCTGATGCTCAGTGATCACCTCTTAGCTATGACACAGGCCCGGTCCACCTGTGTTCTCTAAGTTAACAGGAATGGAACCCGGGGCAGTG